GTAGAAAGAATGTTAGTTTTGCTTGTTTGACCAGCCTTGTTTGAGGCGATATTGAAAAAAGAAGAACACTTTCTCATAGCCACTTTTTGCCCTCTATCGAATGGCATAGTCAATTTTTATATGTAACGTTTCGTTTCTCCAGGACCATCATCCCTGATTACACAACTTTGCCTCCATTTAAGCTACTTCGTTTGTCTTACCGTTTCCGAAATCCCTGTAGTGAAAAGCGAATTTGAACAACCTTTTTTTATTTTATTGACAAATCGATATGACATATAAAACAAATAAAATAGGTTAGGTAAAAAAAATGTTACAGCTTGACTTCTGATCTGAAAATTCGTTACTTTCACTGCTCGGAAAAGGACAAACTCGAGGAAGAGAACTACGGGAACCTTTTTTAATCCGTTTTTTTCTTTTAAGGGTTTAGGTCAGGCGGGAGTATTTTGTTTTGTTGGGATACGGCTTGTGAGACATCTTGTTTCTTTGTTGTTCTATCTGCGGCACTTTTAAGTTCCCAAAGTCGGAGAAAGTGCCGCAAATTCCTCTCTATATCTAGATAGAAGTCGATGATTCTTTACGAGTTTTTAAATTTTCACGGCCTTTTATAGCACGCCTAAAGTGCTTAGTTTTCAATGTACAAAGTTGAGCTCTGAAGGTGGTTTTCTTTTAATATTTTCGAAACGTTTAGATACGTAAATGAAATTTTACATATTTGCTACACGTTTTATTCCTTACAACACAATGAGTAAAACAAATTCTGTCAGGCGCAAAGGAAATTAACAACCACAATAAAAATTCCATATGTATTATTCTTAAAACCGTATAAATGAATGTCATTTCGAAAATGTGTGGAAGATGAGGCGGTACACTATTACTATAACGCTGTCATCTAGCGTATAAAACTAATTTCTCGTTTTAATTTCAATTTTCTCGTTAAAAGACGACAACAACCGTTTTCCCCACTTTGCTAGCGCCCCAAAAAGCTTTTAAACTTATTCGCGACTTAGTGTCGCTCGCAAATATTTAATGTCCCTCGGCTGCATTTCGTGACTGCTGCCTTTATGCAACGGCGGTGTCACTTCAAATTCCAGTTTGTTGGGGAAGCGGCGGAAGTTTTATATTAATACACGGATTTTGTTGAGCCGGACGAAGTGTTAGAGCTCATAATTTTGTGGAGCTTGGTAAAGTGGAGGTGTAAATCTTTTACATAGAGTTCTCACATAGAACGACGAAATTGAGATCGTGAAGTGATTCTTTGAAAGGTGGTCGTTAAGATGTTTATAGGTGGTGGAACATAGAGAAATAATTTCTATTTTCTCTCCGAAAAGTTTCTTATAGTCAAATCGGGGAAGTAACCTACCTCTCTTTACTGACGAGGGACAGTAATCCCGAAATATCAGCTAACAGACAGCGCAATAAGCGTCTCGAGCGGTTTGCTTTGTTTTAATAACCACGAGATGAAAAAAGCTGTTTGAATTTCAAAGGAAATGTATTTAAAACTGCGACGAAGATAACCGAGAAGCGTATTTTGCATTTTAGAGACTGTTATGATTAAGATCGACGGCAAGGGGTGCCGCCGTCGGAACCGTCGGTGACTCTCCAAACATTTACCCTAAATTAATCGGGAATTTATGCGTCGAGTTTCGTCTGAAGCCGCCAAGTGCACGCAATTACTGGATTTGCATACCGAAACTGGTTGAGGGGAGCAGGGATTGTTTCAGACTCGGCTTCTTCGATCTAGAGAAACGATTTCATGTAAAATAATGCAAATGTTTGGTTAGTTTAGCGGTTTTTAATTGGCGATAAGTATTGGTCGCTTAAGCTTTTTCTAACGGAAGATTTTATTATAGTCAGATGGAAAAAAATATATCAAAACAAGTTAAGTAAAGTATATTAAAAATTAATAATTAAATCTCACAATTCTATACATTTACCACGAAAATTTGTATATGGTAGTTTATCTGCCACATTACTTTTGAAATTTTTCTAGAAATACAGAAAAAACGTTTTTAAACAATGTACATTATAATATGTTCAACATAGATTTGGGCATTGAATACTGCTCCTATGGTCGAAGACTTGTATTTTCCTGACTAAATAATGTCCCACAGATTGTAATTTATTGACGCAATAACAATAATTTGATAATCAAACTTTTATAAAAAATAAGTCAAGAAAACGCCTTCAGAGTTGTTTGTTCTGCATCTCCAAGTTTTTAATAATGAATATTCTTTGTTATAAATTTGTTATAGATTTTCGAGGAAATAATCTCGAAGATGCAGCTTCGGTTTCAAGTCTAATATTTTGTAGCAAAAACTCCATCACGTTTTACATGTGCGTCAAAATAAAAATAAAAAAAAAAAATTATTTATAAACAACTATTCATGACGATCGACATTGACAACCAAAACTTACTCAACTCTTTGAATTTCTAAAATATCTCTTCTGAGTTTCGTTAAAAAACTACAACTGATATTCAATAGAACAATATCGTTAAATTTTGCTGTAATAAATTAAGAAAGTACTTTTGGAGGACTACAATAATACAATTATTTTTTTACATTTAAGCATTTTTTCTGTGTAGAGTTCTAACAGTAAAATTTTTACATTATGACAATATATATTAGGCGATAAGGATTCTCTGTAACTTAATTCTAAGCCCCTGCGAAGTGTTCACTTCCAAGCGAAAAATATAGAGTTACGTCTTGATTTTTACAATTTTACGGTACACAGCAAAGCTTTTTAAAAGTTAGTAAAGCGTAGAATTAGAGTTGAAATGTAATACCGAAGGAACACTGAAACAGGAAGTACTTACTTGTCACTCCACCATTACCTCAAAGTTACAGCAAATATCTCTCCAAACAAGCTGAAATATTAAAAATTATTAAAACTCCTTTTGTGCTTCAAGTTGCGATCAAGTGAACAGGGCAGGGTTACTTCCATAGGACCCATAAAAAGTTAAATAAGTCTCTAGTTAGTATGTTTTTAATTACTTATACAAGTATGTTTTGTAAAAGAAAAATAATATAATTTGTAACAAATCTGGTAATTATGTTTTTTCTCATTTAGTTCAATTATCGAATAGACTGTAGCGGCCTCTAGCGAAGGACGCGGAATCATTGTTTCTATAGCACCTTGCCAACGCCAACAGTTATTGCCAATATGCCGACTTAATATCTACTCTTCTACAGATCCATTAGTATTATTATTATTTGCCGTTGTACATTTGTGGCCACTGTAATTTTCCTAATGCGCAATAGTGAAACATGATACTTACGTGATAATAATAACTGAAAGCTTTGGATGACCCATCGAATACCTAGCTAATATTTTAACTTGATGATATCATTGATGAACCATTGGCGTCAAAGTATGTTTCCCAAATCATTTTAGCGACATAAACATAATATCAGCGTCTTGATGTTGCGACCGTATATGTGTTTTTTTTAAGTCTATAGTTGCGCTGATGTCGTGCCGATGTTGTACTAAGGTCGTGTAGCGTCGGGATCAGTTGTATCAGTCGATTTTCACAAATCCTATGCTGGAATAAACAGTGTAACGACTGAAATTGTTCATTACTCTGATATTTTCAATTCCGCAGTAACCTAAATAAACATTTTAATAAGTTATTTCTAAAATACAAGCGTTGTATTAATTTTGTATGTCTAGTACGTAGAGAGAATCGTTTGAACCCTACCAATTTGAAACTATTAATAACTAATAATAACTAGACCCATCAAAATAACTAATTTAAAGGGGAAAAACAAAGAAAATTGTTACCTGGACTTTCATAAGTGGAAATGGTGAAGGGGCTTATAACAAATGAAAAAAAAAAACATGAATGCGTGAGCAGGGCGGCGGAGGGTTGATTTGGGGGGTTGAAAAGTTATGAAAAATTGTATCATTGGGATTTCTGGCGAAAGTTGACGTCAAACAAAAAAGTATCCAATACAAAAGTTGTAGATCATGCAAAAATCTACAACTTTTGTGGAAGTCATTTCTTAACATAACCCGAAAATTTCCGAGAAAAATGTAAAAAACAGTTTTTTTTCTGATTCTTCGTTTTTTATTTCTCATTTCCGCAAAAATAATTATTTTTTATTTTATTCATTCACTATTCGACTTATTTTTATAGTAATATTGTACAAAAACAGTTTTGGGTCAAACAATGAGACACAATTTTTTAATTTTTTTCCGTAGAATTGAATGTCAGTTTTTGAATGTTTTTTAATTCCAACACATTATCGACAATAACTGAAAAATTCATTGTTGCAAGTCATTTTTTATTTTTTTTGCATTTTTGAGCATGTTTTTGAACTGTTATTACAGATTTTTTTATTTCACCAAAAAGTATGTCAAAACAAAAAAAAAATAATTACCGGCAAAACTCTGTACGATAATTTTTTTAAGTAGAATTTTTCTTTGAAGAAAAAGTGTTCCAGGCCGAAAAAAATGAAAATCTCAGAAATTTCTTGATTTTTTTTTATCTAAAAAAATTTGAGGTTTTTGCCAGGGAAAGGTATACTTTCACCAAGTTTCGTCAAAATTAAATTATTTTTGCGGAAATTAGAAATAAAATACGAATAATCAGAAAAAACAGTTTTTCGCATTTTTCTCGGAAATTTTGAGGTTATGTTAAAAAGCGACCTCTACAAAAGTTGCAGATTTTTGCATGATCTACAACTTTTGTATTAGATACTTTTTGGTTTGACGTCAACTTTCGCCAGAAATCCCAATGATACAATTTTTCAACCCCCCAAATCAACCCTCCGCCGCCCCTGCTCACGCATTTATTTTTTTTTAGGTTTATTTTAATCCGTTTTACTATTTCCACTTATAAAAGTTCAGGTAACAATTTGTTTTTCTCCAAGTGTAATTTGATTGGACTAAACCATCTACGTCTAACATATATTTTTTAAGCTTTGCTGATATTTCAATGCATGAGAAATGTATATGCGTTGTTAAAAATTTCGTTTCATGTACCGTTTTCTTTTTTCCAGGTCGTTAAGATGTGCAAGAATACTTATCCACATGAACCTATTTGCTTCGTTTGCGATCAACAATTTCCTGTGGTTGTTGTGGTACTACTTAATGTTCGATGAGACTGAATTACTGTTTGCAAATAAGGTAACAAATACTACTTAGAAATAATTTTTAGTGCGAAACATAATTAATGTGAATGTTATACTTTTTATGTATTTGCATAAATATATTTCCGAAATCCTCATATTTCATATTCCTTGTATAAACTTTAATTTTAAATAGTACTTATCCAATGTCCGACCCAAAAAACATGAGATAACTATAAATCGCTTTGTTAAATTATTGTATATTGTTTCTTACTACAACTTTGCAGGAACTTTAATTTTTCTCTTATATTTATGGCGGAATTACAATCCAGCGTTTATGAAAGAACCGCTTTATATAAAAAAAAAACCTAAGTAAAATTTCATTACCTATACACTGAATTCATTTTTGTCTAATAATTTCTACCTCGTTAGTGAATTTAAAGTTTATATATCGTCCTGAGTACTGAACAACAATCCACTAGCAACATGCATTATAGGGTTTGAAAAAAAAATTTCATTCTCGCGTTCGAATAGAACATAAATTTGAACTGCCTTCGTACTAAATTCATCGCCTGTCGACATCAATCATTGAGAGTTATTTCCATTTATTTATCTACACAGTTTTGAAAACACCCATCAACAATACATCACAGAGGGAGATTATAGATAATGTAATATTACCCGGTTCGATATTGTATGGAATAGAAACTAAAAAAAAAAATATTTATAACACTTTATCTTCCTTTCAACTTATTACTGCTTTCCTGTTATTGTAGAATGATCTTGCCCATCTAGAATAAACCTCTCTAATTCTAATATCAGTATCAAAAGTAATATCTCCAGTCCTCATGCTGGTTGCAAGGATTAACTCAAAAGCCGGAAACTTGTGCGGGAGAGGGGCCGGCATATTATTATTCAGTAGTTTCAGCCCCATTGCTGCTTGACTTCACCTAGTACGAAATGGCCTTGTTAGTAATACACGAGGGTCAATGTTATGTTCTCGGTCATTTAAACATCTTAGGGTTTGCCTTACACGACGCCACTTTGAATTACAAGACTAACAGGTTAAATTAATCAGGGCCTGAAACTATCTCCTGACCGAATTTATGCGGGATAAGCCTGGCTGGAAGTGGTGTTTATCCTCGCTGAGGACGTTTAGATTTATCTATTAACATTAAAGTGTAATTCACAACCTCTACGAATTAATTGTCCGTACTCCAGTTCCAAAATAGTAACAAGGAAGTCGCACAATTTTCATCTATTTAGTCTGATGAAATAATTTAGCCTATTCTCTGTATGGGAATTGTATTGTACATTTCATTTCGCATAGTGCTCCGGTGATATCTTTGCTCATAGCGTACAAAGAGAAAGGCGACTAAGATTCCAGATCCCAGCTGATACGTGTCAGTGCGTGTCAAAAGCGTACAAGTTAGAAATATGTTATTATTCTCATAGTTTACTTGTCGTTGTTAAAAGTGAAACCATGTGCGGGATTCATGACAGAGGCGGACAATTATTTCGAAACCTCATATATGTAACCTGAGAGGTTATTTCTTTATTTATCTATCTATCGTTATGACCGGTATCATAACGAGTCTGGATTTCAAAAGAGTTTACTATTAGTTCTCGACTGCTCAATGTGGAACATAAGGAAGGCTGCCTTTTTCGAGATCTTTCCTGAATTCGACACCTCACTTCGACACGCCCATTTCTTGGGTCCAGAAGTTTCTGTTCTTATCTTATTGGCGGGAACCCTGAATGCTTTGGTATAATTATGCCAATTACCTAATTGACTGGACTTACATTTATATACATGATTCTGTGACTAGGCTTACAAACAACCCTATACCTTCCTTTTGTGACTCCGCATAGTAATACGGGACGGATTAGCCATCTCATTTAATCTATTCTTATAGCTTGGAAAAACCGTCTAAAAACCAGCTATTTTACTTTCTTTTCCTCACAACATTGTAACAACTTATTCTTGGAATTCCTACGTTCTTTGGAATGCATTTTGCACGTTATTTGAAATATCGATTTTTCTAGATGCTCAACACATGGCCCCGACAGTTTAAGTGAACTTGTTAAAAAATATTGCTAAATTTCTCCGAAGGACGACGTACCTACTTGAAAGCCCTCAACTTTCGATAATTTGTGTTGACTGAAATATTTTACTTTTTGGCCCATCCGTTCCCAGAACTAACAAATAAATTACTACGTGTCCCGGCTTTTGTTACATATATCTCGTTAGTTTTACTCCAGCCCATAGAGTTTACTCAAATCCTGTTTTTTTTTCTTTATTCTGTTTACCTGTATTATTAACAGAAAAACAAAAGGCTAAAAATACATGAAATATGTATGTTGGATATACAAAGGAGGGGGGGGGGGTGTAAATTTGCAAGGACGATTTAGATGTTACAATATCTGCCCGTTATTCTATATTTAACAATTTTTGAGACTCTCTAAAATGATCCGCTCATGGAATCGCACGCCTCACACGTCCCAAGGGTTGAAAATGGGTCAGTGGCCACTATCCTGGACCTGAAGTATAGGCCAGACTACTGAAATAAGAACAGGTTTAAACATTATCCATGCCACAGAACTGGGTCAATTTAAAATGCATTATACGAAGATCATACCTGAGGAAAACTGAGTAGGTAATAAAAAATCCTCTGGTGCGTGTCTCTGAAAAAGGATCCATAGGCTAAATTGAAAAACAAACGAGGGAGCTGAGTCCTACTTTCCTTTTTTGACCGGGAAAGAGATGTAAAGCAGGATCATGTTCCCACAAAACAATATCTCCTGATTTAGATGCCAAGGCATAAGTAAAAAATAAATTTGTGTAGGTATTACGGGGCTTCGACGTGAGGTAGTGGGCTAAAATATTGAATTGTACCTGAATTTAATAGATGGCGTGTTATATTTCACGCTGCGCATAACAGATGGGGCGTTATATTTACAATAGAATCATCCAAAATTTAAATAAACAGAGTTCGATTTGCTCCATCAGAGTGTAATAATCTCGACAAACACACGTGGCGGCAATCCAATTTTAATTATCAAGTTTAATTATAAGGAATTATAGAGTTATAAGAGCTGATTGAAATGCTCAGTAGGCACTTAATACCCCTCGAAGAGAATCTTAATAATGTCAATATTGTCGCAGGCCCTGTTCTGCGCCGATATAAATTCCGTTCCTTGAGGTCAGTAAGTTCCAGGGAAATTAGTATTCCATTAAAACGGGGTTGATATCTTGAGGGTTAGAGGGAATTATCAGGGCTTAAATGGGGTTGGGCTCGAGCATCTTTAACTTTCTAATAGAGGAAGGTAGTAACAATCACCCCGGTCTATCGCTGTGATAACTCGGCGTGTGACCCGAATTACATAAATAACTAATTTGCTGGCATCAATTTGAATGTTTGCAATGCGATGACACTGATATATTTTATTTAATTCGAAGGCGTGATAGAGGATGAGAAAATAATCAATTTTCATTAAGCGACTTGTGGGCTAAAGTGTTATATGCTCCAGAAAATTAGAATTATTACGCGAAATTTAGGCCGAGCCTGCGCCGCCCCACTTAATCAACTAGCGGATACTGCACCTTTGTCGTGTACAACGAGACAAAATTTTACAGGCGAATTTTGATTATTTTTTCCAATACAGCATTATCTACATAGTATTATAATGAACAGCCTTATAAAAAATATAAACACAGGCTTCCATTTATTTACGGCGATATCCTATACTTTTAAATTATAATTTATGAATACCTAATGTAGCATTTTTCACCCCCATCCCCCTAAATGGAACGGGCGTGCAACACAAAAATTGTAAAACGCCGCCGGGATAGGTAGAGGAAAATTCAATTTACTCCCCTTGTCGTTCGAATAGACTCCTAGCCTTGTGATGAATAAAATTAAATTATATATTTCATCAGTCACTAAATTGACAACGTAGGTATGTATATTCGTTTATTAAATTCACAGCTGGGTTCACTAAAATGCCGTTAATATAATATTGCACCATTTATTTTTAGTAATGAACGGCTATTGGCTTTCGGACGGGTATTTCATGAAAGAAAATACTGAAAATAAACGTTTGTTGACAAAACTTGTTTATTTTTTAAACGTGTTCGAATGTTTTAATAAATTTAAACTAAATAATTTAATTGATTTAATTGAATAATACTTACCACAGTTTGCTGTGCAAACTACAAAATTTAGTTTGGTCCAATGTGAATAATTACAAAAGTACCTCACAAGTTATTCTAAATAATTTTCTTGACACATAACTTGGCAATCGGTGACAGTGGTCATCAAAACATTGCACCTTTTTAGAAAAAAATCGTACCTAATTTTGAAATTTGACTCTCATTTCACTTTATTCAGTTAATCCCCAATTAAAATACATGTAAACGTTTAATGTTCACCCCGTATGTGTTATCCGAGATATCCACCATTGTTTTCACTCTCGCATTATCGCCGTGACAGGTCCACTTAGTGCGATATCGAGAGACTTCCCTTAGAGCTCGTCTCCCCGTTTTTCCTTTAATCCTTATTGGCAAATAAATTTCCTCAAATGGTGGTCTCGATTTTCACTCCCGCAAAAAATAAGGACGATATTAGATCCGCCAAAGCTTTTTTAAATTTCGCTTATCCTTCCCACTTCCACACCTATGCCCCGAATATATCACTTTATCCTGTCAGGATCATAATGCGTTTTTTTTAATGTAAGCTTCTAACAAAGTGACTTTTAGAGAAAATATTGCACGTTCTTGATAAAGCGATGGGTTAGATGTAAACGTAATTGACTTCCTTTACCTATTTTTTCGTTTTTCTAAAGCGAATAACCTCTTGTGGCAGGGAACGGGGTGCATGAATGGAAAATTATGGTGGTGTATTTCAAGTAAACAGTGCAATTATTTCCTCGTCAGGGGAATATTGACCCCCTTTTTAAACATTACAGTGGCCTGCACGTTATTACAGTCTAACACGTATCGTAAACAATCATTTAAAGCGGTTTTAATAATGTGGCCAGTAATTGCAGTACAGTAAT